ACTTCTTATGGAGTGTGGGCTTAATGAAGCGACATCGGCAACTTTGATTGTAATTGTCATAAATTAATCAGCGCCGCGTTGCGGTCGTGAAAACCATGTTAAACGATTTTTACAAGTGGATCTTTAAACAAGCTCTCGAAACGAGCGCGCGCAAGGACGCGCGCGAGAGCCACATACACCAAAATGCTGCGAGCGAACATTAAAAGTCACGTAAGGAAAAGAGAAATCTCAGGGAACAACCGAGAGAAAATCGAAACACAGTCGGGAGAACCGAGATGATAATCAGATCTCCTTCGTCGCGAGCAGATTTTTTTCTACAGATCAGTTATGACGTCGAAACGAAGGATTACAAGATTGATTTTCTTGTTCTCAGTGGTGGTCAGTGATCTCCCGTTGCGACCTCCTGGAAGCTGTACACAGTGCTATGGCGACATCTCGAGATCGAAATCTCGAGTTTCTCACAACTCTTTCCTGCTTTTCGTTGAAACAAAAGTTGGATTTCCTGGGGATGGAGAAAGGGGAGGTAACCCGCAGCGGCCAATCGTGTTTCGGGAAAATGGTAATCGATGAGCTCGTGCCAGAAATAATCGGAATGCATAGTCGAGAGGAGCAGAGCGTTGTCGTTTGCTTATTTTTCTTATTAAGGAGCTCTCATATGTTTCCAAAGAGTTCACCTGTTTTCTCATTGACACCTCGTGTATCTCATATGTCATAGACAGTTTCGTATGCCGTTAGACACAGAGATTTGAATCGCTATTTGTCATCAGAAACCGAACTAGCTATAAATTAATTACATTTGTAAGTGTATAAAGCACGAAATATCGCTGGAACATTGCTGAAATATTGCTGCAATGTTGCTTTATTACTGCATATTAAAAAACATATCGCAGGAATGTTGTAGAAATATTGCGCTTGACGTTAAAAACAAATCTATGAATAATAAAATCTGTTCTCTCGACACGGTATCGATTTATTATTAAATAAAAAAAATACTCGAGAGAGATTCTCTCGTCAGCTAATCTCTTGACGCGTACGAGGCACGTCAACGTGAGAGACCGTAGAGACGTTTAGTGGCCGGCCCGGCCAAGACGCCGTGGGCAATCGGCGCGCGGTTCGTCGATTTCATCCCGGGCGGTATCTGATTCCCCTATCTTTTGCGGTCGCAACGTGAATTCTTCCTTGAAGAGACGCGACGTCCAAAACGCGTTTCCCGGGACGCGGCCGGTTCACGACCACCCACCGACATTTGTGGCAAATCTGTGAGACACGAGCGGGCACAGTCCTCCTCTCGTTCCTCTTCTTTTTTATTCTCGCATTTCTTTCTCCACTCACGACATCTCTGCCTCTTTCCATTCTTCTTGCCAAGTCTCATCTTGCACTCGAAAACCCGCGCTTGAATGACTAAATGGGAATCAAAGTGAAATGGAACGCCCGCCCGCGTGTCGCTCGCGTTCGTGTGCGTTACATCTCACTTATCCCGTGGCTCTTGTGATGCGATGATTTCCGGCGACGAACTATATGCGACAATGACTTTCGTGACTTAAGCCTTTCTGGCTGTCACGCGGGTCCATAATTATGCGCGGAGAGCTGAATAACTCTCTGTTTCTGAAAGAGTTGGCAACGGACAAACGAATGCGCGGAGGTAAACTGTCACTCTATTATTGACACAGCGTATTATTACGTTATTACTTTGCATTTCATGTATTCACTATAATATTTGTGATTATATTTATGAATCTAAATTACTCTTGTTCTATTAAATTCTATCAAATCGAAGTACAAGATTATTAATACAAGTAACATAAGTCACAGATATTTTATGCGTGAAAATTATTTGTTTAAAAATTTTTAATAAAAATTATAACAATTGTTGCAATTCATTTTTTATTAATTAATTTTTTTATTATAAGCGCAAAGTAAATTTCAATTTATTTATTTGTCACAAATAACAATCAACATAAAATTCTTATGTCTTATAGAAACAATTATACAAAGTTTTTTAATATTTAAATGACTTTGATTAAGTAATTACGCACGAAGGAGATAGTTGAATACTCTTTTTTTTAGCAATTTAGAAATGCGAGGGTTAGTGTTATCTCGCGGGGATATCCCTCCGTCATCCCTTTTTTGGCCGTTACCCCCGCGGCGTCGTCTTCGGTCTGCGCACACTTCTCACAACGCGCATGGAGCGCGTCCGGAAGCAAAATCGAAGAACACGACAACACATAGGTCGGGGTGGTATAATGCTTTCCGTGGCAGCCCCCGGGGCGCGTTCGTTCTCACACTCTCTTTCTAACGGAACGGAACCGTGATACAACTTGCCAAGGCGCATCGGATACCGGCTGACTTGGAGAAGTCGGTAAGGAAACTTGTCTCTAATTATCCTGTTTGGCCATATAGTAGTCGCGTGAGTGCACGCGTGCGCTGCATCGCGCGCGCGAAACGTACGCGAGATACGTGCGTAAGAGTATAACGCTGACGCGCGCGACTAAGAGAAGGACAGGACTTCAAGGAGTAGGGCGGCTCCAACGCATCGGAATATATTATAGACTTGTTTCTTTCGACTTGCGCTGGGCTGAGATCTCTGGGTTTCGTGTTAACTTAAGTGTCCCTGAAACGAAATTTGTCGGATGTATCGCGATCCGTGTGCACACGGTTGCCTCTTTGGTGCGTGCCACCTTTCTTTAACCCAACCTCTCACGATTAATATACATCTCTTTTTTTTTGTTTTTTAAAAAAATCCGTTTAGAAGTAGAGCATAAGTTTGTTTTGTTCCAAAAATGCGTTTAGTTATAGTCAATCTTAACGTTTCTTAACGTTTTTTTAATAAAAAGAATTTCAGCTTTATGTCTGAAACATAACGAGAGTTTCGTCCTTGAACTTTAAATTCAATTTAAAGGGGTCTCTTTGAAGGGACTAGCCGCCGAGGACGAGTCTGTGGTTGTTTTTGGCAAGAATCTTTACCGGGCAGACGGGGGGGGGGAGAAGGGGGATCTGGATTCGTATACTTAATTCACCCTTGAAGGATCTCGTCGTTTTAACTTGTTGCACCGGTAAGGCAGGCTTACGATCCGAACGTTGGCGTTCGTCTTTGTGAATCTCTATTACCGTTTCTTGTCGTGTTCTCGCACGGCTCGTTGATACAGATAAGAAAATATGACATACACGACGATGTCACACATACGACGTTTGTACTGTGTGTGCGCGCGCGCAGAAATATTCGCTCAAAATCGAGGTTGGATAATTTTTTAAATAACAAGTTTTGAGACTGTTTTATTCGTAACGTCTTTTGTTTTATTTAACAAATCGGTATTGAGTTTTTATTACGATAGTCGATATTTACATATAAAGAGAGACACACCATCACTATATCAATCGCGAAATCTTGTCGATCGTTTTCAAGGTGAACACACAATTCGCACAAGTTTCGTGATTTCTTCAACCTTCTTTTTGTACATAATATCGTTTATACATTATGTGCAATGTATAAATTGTTAATGCTGTCAATATTCAAATCCAGATATTTCAGATATTATTCTAGGTACTCGGACAATATTAGTATGTTCAACAATACATATCGTCATTGTTCTTAATCTAAATTTGTCTATTACTTACGATCCTTATAATTATACTTGTTTTTTAAATAAAACTAGAATATAAACTAAAATATTTTTATATATTTTGCGATGAGTATTGTGTAATGTTACACAATCTTTAAAACATATATTAAAAAATTGGTTTATTTATGTATGTATAAATTATATAACACATTTACGTGTATAGAACCTCGTTATATAACACGTATTATTTATTATTTTAATATATTATATATCAGTACTAATGTACTTTAGTACTAAGCTATATTGTCATTATTATTTACGTAGAGTAACGTAAAAGAAACCAAGTATTTGAATACTTGAATTTTAATTAAAATCGATAACACAAGAAATAAATCACTTCATTTTAGTGGTAAAAAACTTTCTGTAATAGAGAGTTGTGTTGTATCGTACAATACAAAATTATTTTCCTGATATTAGCAGTAGAAATATACATAATCACTATAATATAATAATATATATAACAATAAATATAATTATTGTACAACAAAAATATTACACTTGTAGTAATTATGTAACATAAAATCAATATGCTACATAATATATAGTTTTATATTTAAGAATAATATTTATAATATTATTCCTCCTCCTCTGTTCTATTTCGATAAGGTGTATCCAAATAATATCAAAACTGTATCTGAATGTTTGTATAATGACAGCAGTAACATTTACATTAGTTTTTTATTAGCATTGCCGGAAAAGAGAGTCATTTTATAGATTCACAAAAGATTCTATAGAATTACTAAGACAATTTAATCATTTTAACATAGGTATATACATTTTATAATATATTTTTGTTTAAATATTTATAATATATATAATATAATTTATATAATATATCGTATAACATATAATAAAATGTAATATACGTATATAATATTATACCACATAATATTATATAAGAAAATACTTATGACACACGTCGAGACGGATTTCAAGAGCTTAACAATCTCAAATTATTGATAAACTACTCGTTCAACAAAATGTTTTACATAAAAATTGCATACAATTACAAGAAAGACATTTTATATCACATAAGTTTATCTAGACTCGTTTTAAGGCTTTAAGAGAGTCGCGTTTATAATTTTTTTTGTAAATATACAACTACACAAGCATGTTTCTAATTATAACTCAAATTTTTATTTTAGCGTGTTATATTTCACGTATATAAGTATTTTGTATTTTTTTTAAAAACACAAAAAAATATTTCTAACGTATATAATTTTTTTTTTATAGCATGAGTAGTTAACAAATAATTTGAGAAAGTGTTCTCAATTACATAATCATTACGGGGGTAATGAGGCACTTTGAATAAATAATTATAGATTAAAAATTGTGTTTCATGTTTATAACAATTTGAATGAAAAGAGACTTTTTACGATATTATTTTACCAAATAAAAGAAAAAACATTTAAAAAACCGATATGACAAGCAATTGGATATTATAAACAAAAAATAATATTTAAAAAATTGATGTAAGTAATTAAAACTTGGAATATACTTTCGGGGTATTTTTCAATCGTAAGAAAGAAATAATAAATTAATGAAAGGTACAAAAAAATAAGTTCTAAACATAAAGTCACTAGAGGCTACAAAGAAATGTAAATTATACATCTTTGTAAGTAATGCTGAGTTCTACTTTAAAGTTTCAACTTCAAAGTAGAACTGATGCTCGACACATTTTAAAATACATATTTGAAAGATAGAGAAATAGAAAATTTGTAGCCTCTTACGTTTCGAACAACAAGAGACTATATTACACTAATTTAATGATAATATTACACACTAGAAAAACTATATTTATAGACAACAAAGTATAATAGAGTGTCATGATTGACTAGATTGACATTATTCATATTGTTCGTAACAACAGCCGCTTTCTCAGTTTACCTTTGTTTATATTGTTTGCTTCATTTGTCATTGACCCACACATTATGTAATTTGCGTTCTCTCGTTTCTGAAACAAGAATAAGAAATTTATTAGATAAGCACAGTCAATATTTTCTCAGACAGCTGTCGGAGAATTTTTTTTGTTTATTTTAAACATTCCGAGACCTTACACGCGAAGGTAGACGACCTGAAAGTAACATGCTCACGCCTTTAGCGTGATATCGATTCTTTCGAGTAGATCACGGTTCTCTCGCCGGTAAGTGATGATAAAAAAAGGAATCCTGCAGGTATACGAGTTGAAAGAAGTAAGGGATGATTTCAGGTAAGGGCGGTTTTACTGCAAAGAAGTCCTGCCCTGTGAGCGAGAGGAAAAGTAAAGTAGAGAAAAAAAAGAGACGAGGGAGAAAGAGAGAGAAGAGAACATCCGTACCGGTTCAAAAACCGACAAACGGGGGACAGGAATATCCTCAAAGATGCATTCAGGTTAAATGCAGCAAACGAAATCGTCCTCGTGAAAAAGAGAGGCGAAACCTGGATAGGACAGTCAACGAAAAAGTGAGAGACGGGAAATAAGAGATGTGAAATCTAAAAGTTGCGTCCATCAAGATTAGATTCGAGCTCGAACGCGGGCTTTGGAAGGCAATCGAATTTTTTCTACTATTGATGTGTATTTAAAAAAAAATATTCGTATCTTATATTTTTTTTATACTAGATAAAAGATTTTACAAACATTTACTTATTCTACGCTGTTATATTTTTTGCAAAGTGTACGTTAAACTTTCCTACGCGTCTCTCTCTCTCTCTCTCTCTCTCTCTCTCTCTCTCTCTTATTACAATTAATAATTTTTATCTTCGCAATTGTTAATACCATAATTTTTTCTCAATTTAAAACATTAAAACGTTTACGTGTTGCTTTGTTCTCAAAATTTATGCAATAAAATCTCATTTGGTGATAAACGTACATATTCAAGTGAAAAAAGTGTCTTTTCTGATGATCGAATCGAGCGACTTGGAGACGTCGCTGAAGAGCGAGGGGTCACAGAAAAAAAAACGGTAGAAGAGAAACCGACACTCATGCACATACGTATGCGCATTAACGTACTGTGAAAGAAATCGCGGCACAAAAGCATCGCTCCTCGAATGTATACTCGGTGGCGCGGTGAATGGAGTCTGCGATTTGAATAGACAGGGTTTCAACGAGGGTTCGCGCGCACCATTGTGCGAGGGCAAGGTCACAAATCTAGTCGGAAATTTCTTTGAGCTTCCCCGGTAGCATAGCGATGTGTGTTCACCCTTCGAAATATACGATTATTTGAACTAGCGAGGGTGGCGAAGATAGAAAAAAAAAAAAAAACAATATTTTGGATATTGAAAGTAACTGATCGAACTGTCAACTATATCGATTGATAATTTCTGATTTTTCTGGAAATGTGACACAAATTAGTTGTATAAATAAATCTTAACATTATATTATAAAAAAAATACTGGAAAATATTTAAAATATAAAAAGTATATAAAGTAATTAGAAAAGTATGTTAAAATTGAAGAGAGCTCACAACAAATTCAATCACAAAAATATTCGATAAGTAAAGAGACTGACATTCACGGTTACGACACGTGTAACTTTTTTAGAAAACTTCAAATTTGTAATTACAATCAATGTTGTACCACTTCGTTCTCAGTTTATTTCTTAACTCGTAAAATATGATTAAAAGTGAAACTATCAAATCACTACACCAACCTTAAGAAGAACGCAAAAGCTGTTTACGTAGACGTTCTCACTGATTCTGCCACCAGGAAATGACGTCCAGCAACTCCTCGTCCTCCGGACTCATTGGTTCGTAATTGTCGTAACTGTCTGAATGCGTTGTGTAAAGCGTGCCGGGTGTGCTGTAACCTTGACTCCCGGCCGATGAGGTTTCGGAAACGAAGCTCGGCGTTGGCGAACTCGATGCCTCCGAACACGTTGTCGGAACGAAGGTTGTCGGACTCGAATTCTGTCTGAGTTGTTGATGCCGGTGAAGATCAGACCCGTGCGGACTACCATGATGACGGATCTCCGTGCTCATGCTACCCCGCAGTCTCATTTCTGCCGGATGATGACTGGAATCGGAGGTGACGCCGTTTTCAGAACTACACGTGGGCGAGTTCGAGGACGTCGAAGATGTGGGTGAGGATCCACTGGTTTCCGAACTGCCGTCGTGTTCCTCCAGAAGACGCTGAAGACTCCTAATATATTCCACCGCCATTCTCAGAGTCTCGACTTTGGACAATTTTTTGCTGCCAGCTCTGGATCCGCCGTGAGTGCCGGCAGTGCTGCTTCCCAATGCCTGCGCCACGGTCTGCGGTATCCGTTGTCTCAGATTGGCAAAGCCGTCGTTCACCAGCTTCACTCGGTTGCGCTCTCGCGCGTTTCGCCTGGCAACTGAAGCAGGTTGATGCGGCACCGTGCCGTAGGGTCCGGTGGCCTGGCTGTAAATTTTCGACCGCTTGCAACCATGCTGCAGCGAGTTGCTATTGGCTGGCATACTGCCGGTGGAGACAATCACGTTGCCGCGATGGGTTTGAGCAGTCGAGGTGGCGTGAAGACCGTGATGGTGATGCTGCTGCACACTCAGCATGATGGGTAGGATGTTCTCTTCTTTGGACGCCACTAGGGTCATATCACGGGTCCAAATTCCCCCCCACCACTCAGGAGCAGGAATTGTAGCAGCGCGTGCCGAACGACTTTCGTTGGATTACACTGCCTCGATACCAAAGAGAAACTTTGTTCGAGCAAGCTCGAATTGTGATTTGTTAACACTTTGTTATTACGCGCGAAGAAGAAACAGATGAGAACGCGAGGCGTGCTCGATCGAACGGTAAGAAAAGTGTGAGGAAGAAAAACTACACCCTCGATGCTTTCGGTACGATTCTGGCTCCCGAAATGCTTAACCAATGAGGGTTCGGGGTCTTATATAGCCAGGGCGGGCACGCGCCTATCCCCTCCAGAAGCTCTCATACCCGGTCTCGGGTTAAGTCCCGTCTTTCTCCCTTCCTCGTTTTACAGGCCCACAGCTCTCTCATACCCCCGTGATTCCCCACTCCCGCGGTCCCAAAGGCCCTACACCTACTTCAGGTTCTCATCTTCAGTCGTTCTAGCTCGCCGCTACTATCCCGATATGTTTACTGATTTACATTTCAGAGCACGACCGCACTGTTATCGATATGATAAGGTCTATCATATCATCGGCGTGTGCTCGGGATATTTGAACAGTTGATAAGCCAAAGGCGATAAATCTCATTTCGGAAAAGATGTAAAGTATATATATGTTTGTTCCTTCGTAGAGTTATGATGTTTTTCTCAATAAGCAAAGCGTTTACACAACAAATATTTTATTCACGTTATTTGTGTGGTTTTTGAGTTTTCGAATTTATAAAATTAAATGACACAAAATTAGTTATTATTAAATTAGTTACAAAATTAGTCATTATCAAATCCTGCAAATTATCATATACCGATTGTAAGAATTCATCTACGCTCTAGACGATCAATGTATAAGAAAAAAATACAATTGATACATCGGTAAGATCCAATGTTTATGTATTTAGTTGGTTTTGCGATATATTCTCGTGTGAGAAACACTGGTGTACACACATATGAAGGGTCCACATCCTCACCGGCTTTGCGGTGTCTTGGGCATCGAAATTTGAACAGTTACAGAGAGAAAGAAAAGCTGGCCCGAAGACCTGGTACAAGTCGAGAGAGCGAGACGGCGAGAGAACGAGGTACACAACATACGACAAGGACAGATACCGAAGAAGAAGAAGAATGATGAAGAACAAGGAGTGGGAGGAGATGGAGAGGTCTGCGGCTGGAGGGAAGCTGTGCAGAAGACGAAGAGATATCAGAGGAGGATGAGGGAGCCCAGTGGCACGGAACATACGAGTACCCGAGACATTTGCAACGGTGAGAAAGAGAAGCAGCGACGGTAGAGAAGAGTATAGCGATGGGCACGAGTACGTGGTCTTCTTGTTACAGCACCTTAGTTTATCGCAAACATGTTATTATAAAACTTAAAAACAGTTTGATGAACATCTATTTCTATGTGTAATTTTTTTAAAAAGAAAAAACACATTAGATAAAAAAACATTCTTCTTCTTCGCGAAGCTACGAAATCTACGATGATAATGTGAAAGAGTTGACCATCCTGAAGAAACATGTCTCATTCTTTTTTTTTTCCTGTCAAACCAACTCTTTCATGTGACAAAAAAGACGAAGAAGTTCTTCAGCAAAAGAAACTCTTCCACAGAAGTAGTGATAAAACGCGCTCGTTGCCGTCACTAGTAAAGAAGATATGTATGACGACAAAAAGGAAGGGGAAGAGACGCGAGCCGTCCTCCCTTCCTCACATTCGTGGCGCGCGCCTACTCCCATCCACTGGCTCCCCCTCTCTCTCTCACTCGTCCGGTTTTATCCTCCGAACGGAGGAGCGTGCGTCCTGCGTGCGTGTGTTCGTGCCGTGCGTGTACAAGGGCGCACGCGTGCTTGATCGAGCCTCGTGCGCTTAAGGGCGCTTGTGTGAGGGATGTGTACGCGCGCGCACGCCGACATGTGAGGAGCCGCGCGTTCGTTCGCGTATGTGTGCTCCTTTCGTACATGTGCGTGCTCGCGCGTGGAACAGGTATATGCTCCCCGTTTCTTTTTTTTTTTCCTCCTCTTTTTAATTCTGGCGGTTCTCTTCCCGTCTCTTTTTACATTTCTGTCCTTCTCGAAAAGGCGACGCGAGTTGAAAGAAAAGAGCAAGAGAGAGAGAGAAAGAGAGAGATAGAGAGCAGGACGGTAGGGTACAGGCCGGACATTCCTACGTGAATAAACGTCAGGCGAACGACCGACGGTTTGGATAGATAATAGCTGCGCATTTTCGGTTCTCCTTCCGATAAGGGCATGAAGAAGGAGAACGCAAAAGAGATAGGCATCTCGAAACGCCGAGAATGCCCAAGCGCGAACGTGATGAGTGAAATATAAGTGACAAGCGCGCGAGATTAGTATGCGATGTCATGCGGGACTCGCATTAATGTATGTATTACGTCTATAGATGGACTTTCTATTTGCAGAGAAATCTCATGTAGAAAATATTACAAAAAGCGTGTAACTTTTAAAAAGAAGGAGAGGAATTTTCGAAAGTAGTATATATTCGTGTATAAACGCAACGTATTAAAAAAAAAAAAAAAAAAAAAAGTGAATTGTGAACGCAGAGAGGACGAACGAGAGATCCTTTTCTAAACATTTGTAACAGCCTTTATTATCCGCGGAATCTCCGGAGTTAGTATTTATTTCGTAATTATATTCCACGCGGCCTTTCCACGCCAAAAACACTAATTATCGTGCCGAGTGGCGAGATGATACGATACCGTAACGTTTATGTTCGCCGAGTCAACCCTCGCGCGATCGACCACGACGCGATCCGCGCGTTGCAGTCGTCTCGTGCCCCGGGCACGGTTTTAGATCGTTCGGGATTATTGTCCCGCGCACAATCATAGAGATTAGAGGCTTTCTGGTTGACCGGATGAAGTATGGACCGAGAGAGTGCGGTCTATGCAGTTGTTACAATTTCCGAAACCCCTTTTGTTCTCCATCACTTTCACGACGCGGAGGCGTTTAGATGCAGTTTAGTTCTGTAATATGTTGTCGTAATGATATATCCCCTTGTTGCTGATTTGTGTCGATTACACGTTACGATAAACAGCTTGACAAATACTTAAGTAAAAACGTTAATAATAGTCTCGTAGTAGTCTCTTTTTTGTCTGTATTTTTTAAGTGTCGCGAAGATTTTTTCGATTTCTAATTAACCGGAAATGATATAAGTGAACGATACGATCGGTTATAATGATTGTCTTCGAAAATCTCCTCGTAAAAGAAACCGCGTTGTCATCAAGCATCTTTTTCATTGAGTATAATAATTTTTGTAAAATTAATTTATTGTATAATGCGTAATTAGTATGCTTACAAAATATTATATAATTCGCTATAAAATTTACTTGCCACAGCTGTATCTCAATAAATTTTACATCGTCGCGCCGCGAGAAAATTTCGCAGACAAAATTCCTAAGCATTCGACGTGTGAAGGGTACGTGTTTTGAGGTTCCCCGTGAAAATGCAAGTTTTTTTTATGTTTTGTTACGTCGAATCTCCCACTCACATGTGCGGTGCACAGATACCTCCGTGCCTCGGAATTGGCTCGCGGAGAATCGAGGAGAATTTGAGGGGGAGAATTCACGCTTGCGTAGATACTTATATATTTCGTGCGGAATCGCGTGGGGTTACCAAACGGAGCGTAATCGGCGACACATATGGCGCGTATACGAGCGAGGGTATGCGTATCGATGCGTGAGCCAACGTATCTAACATATGTCGCAGCAGGTTGACCGGATACCGATGTTGATGATTAATCTGCTGGTATCGCGAAGATTTCGAAAACCTGTAAACGCGATTGCACGCGAATATCGTGAAAAATAAAAAAAAAACCATTGCTCTTTGTATATGCAATGTCTCTTTGCGCAACAAATTATACGAATCAATATTCAATTAAAAATGTGATGTAAATTGAACGTAGTTACTCGTACGTTATTCGCACGTACGAATAAGAAGCAGAATCGCGCTTTTCATACTTGAAGAAATTGTAATAACATATCTGCACCGTATCGAAGGATTAAGTGCACGAATAAACGCGTTATAAAGATGGAGCTAATTACCATCGCATATACGCACTTATCATGCCGTAATTAACCCGTGCCTTACATTCGTGTGCGCGCATTATCGGCCAACACACGCACTTTGTTCATGCGTAAAAATTATTTCGACGAGAAGGTGCTTATCGAAATTTATCTTTCCGATTCACTCTTTCTGAATCTCGTCCCGGAAGATGTAGGAAGGAAAGGAGAAAGAAAAAGAACGCGAGGCACTCGGCCGCGACGGATTAATCCGTGAGATGAAATGCCACCCGTACGTGCGCACGCATATTAAGATTTCGCGCGATCAATAAATATGCACATAATTTTTAAATTAATTATTACTGCTACATATTGTTTATAATATTTTGCTATATATTGTTTAAACATATTAATTCTTATAAAAACTATATTAAAACATTAATATATTTTTGTTATATATATTTTTCAACATTTCATGAATTATTTCTTTTTAAAATAGACGTACATTGTTGCTGCGTGTCTAACAATATTCTTTCACGTGATATAAAAATTTGTATTATTTTTTATTTCTTTTGTAAGTGTTTATTTCGCTCACGAATCAACCGAGAAAATGTCTTATTCTTGTCGATTTTTATAAACTAGAAATTTGTCACACACACACACACACGTACGACGGAAGTGTCGCGAATAATGTGTCTCGTTTGGACAAACATACTACTCGCATACCGGGAGTACGTCAACATTCGAATTGTGTACTCGCGAGAACGTTGCAATTACGCTGAAGCGACACGACGGATATGCCCGTGCGAGCAAACGCAATTACCGTGACAACTGGCGCATAATCCCCCTGTTTACGCATAAAACGACAAAGGCTGGATAGTAGGCTTCGTCGGCGTCGCCTCCATTGCTACGCTGATTAATCATCCGCGACGCATCTTGCGAACCACTCAGTTGCGGTTTTCCGTGCCTCGCTCGAGAACGACTTTGTCAATTTTATCACAGCGACAATATCTTTTCCACAAACCAGTGCGCGGGTCTCAAACGGACGTATCACCTTATGTGCGATTTCACTTTTTTGATTTGATTTATCTCTAAAAATCGCTACATGTACCCGCTCGTCGATTAATATTCAAGCATATGACAAATGAACCTGTTCACTCGAACGTTTGATCTTGCTACGGACGTGTCGAAAAAGAAAGAAAGAAAGAGAGAAAAAGAGAGAGAGAGA